CACATGGGTGGGTGACAGAGTCATCACAAAATCTACCGGTACCCGGGCCCTGCCAACCTACAACAACCACCTGTACAAGAAAATCAACAACTCTGGAGCGACTGGAAACAACGACAACCAGTACTACGGATTTGGCATCTGTACAAGAAAATCAACAACTCTGGAGCGACTGGAAACGACAACCAGTACTACGGATTCAGCATCTGTGGGGATACTTGGACTTCAATTGGTTCCATGGCCACTTTTCCCTTCAAGACTGGCAACATCTCATCAATAGCCACTGGGGACCAAAAAGGCTTGACTTGAAGCTTTTCAACATTCAAGTCAAAGACGTCATAACACATGACAACACATCACTAATAATCTCACAAGCACAATCCAGGTGTTGGCGGACTCAGACTATCAGCTACGGTATGCAGCGGGGAATGCACAGGAAGGAACGCTGCCTCCATTTCCATCAGGTGTATTCATGGCTCCACAGCATGGATATCTAACTCTCAACAACAGAGACAATGCAGCCGGCAGGTCTGCATGTTGTCTGAACTCGCACCAGTAGCAGGTGCTCCGTTTTGTCCAAAAATCCTAACTCCAGTGTGAGGACATGTTGCTTCGTCTCCAATACGAGAAGCCATTGCAATGCCTGGTTGCATTCTGAGTGCTCTTAAGTTGACAAGTACTTTGTTTGCAGATGTCCATCCAACTGATGCGCTGTTGCTAGCAGCTGTTTCATGCACGACCTTCCGTCGCATGCAAGAACCAGGCGGCCAAGTGCGATATTGTGATGCTAGGTCACCTTTGTTGCATTGCTAAAAACCAGCTTGCTTATGCTGTTTTGAGCATTTGCAGCGAGTGCCCATGGATATTGATCTATTAGAGGAATCATCAATCTGTCAATGAGCTGGTTGTGCGCATATGAGCAGTAGAATGGCACGTCTCCGAGTGAATAGCTGACATCACATTCAGCTATTCATTCGGGAATGTAAGCAAGTTGGTTTTTAAAAATGCGACAAAGGCGACCTAACATCACAATATCACACTTGGCCGCCTGGTCCTTGCATGCGACGGAAGGTCGTGCATGAAACAGCTGCCAACAACAGCGCGTCAGTTGGATGGACATCTGCAAACAAAGTACTTGTCAACTTAAGAGCACTCAGAATGCAACCAGGCATTGCAATGGCTTCTCGTATTGGAGACGAAGCAACATGTCCTCACACTGGAGTTAGGATTTTTGGACAAAGCGGAGCACCTGCTACTGGTGCGAGTTCAGACAGCATAAAGATGACAATCAAAAGCAAAATACAAACAATTAATCCAGTTGCCTACAAGGAAGGATACAGAATAGCAAACAACGTGCAGCAGACAAGCACAGGACCAACACTGGAAAACATCAACCACCAGGGAGTCGTTCCGGGAATGGTGTGGCGAGATCATGAAGTACACTTCCTTCCAGGGACTGATTTGGTCTAAAAGTCCTCACACAGATGGACATTTTCATCCCTCGTCGCTGACGGGTGGATTTGGACTGAAACATCCCCGCCTCAAATTCTAATGAAAAATACTCTGGTTCCTGCAAATCCTCCAACAACGTTCACCACCAGCAAGACCAACCCGTGCATCTCTCAGTATCCCACAGGACAAGTGACGGTTGAAATCGAATGGGAGCTTCAAAAACAGTCGTCCACGAGATGGAGTCCAGGAGTGCAGCACACAGCAAGCTTCAGCACCGAGGCTACACTTTCGTTTGGCCCCGGCAGCAACAGAGTGTGTCCAGAATCCAGGGCGACTGGCACTCATTACCTCACCTGCCCGCTCTAACCCAACAGTGTTGCATATCATCAGTAAACTGTGTACTTGTAATTAGACTTTGGTGCATGAGTGCTTCTTATCAATAAATAGCATGTTAATCATCAACCGATAGACATCAGAGACACACAGAGACCTGTCAGTGTTCACCTCTCACGGAAAGAGTGGGCAGTCCCGGCCTCTCCAGGAAACTGTCTGTGGTTCTCATTGCCCTGGAGCAGAGCCAGGTGTGGCCTCCTCAGCTGCTATCACCCTGGGGCCATGCCTCCCCCATGGTCCACGCCTCCCCGATGGGCCACGCCTCCTCAGCAGTGAGCAGCAGCTGGGGGATATCTATTGTCTGGGTGCACATGCCCTGGGGAAAGTCAGCACACACCTTGGTCACAGGTTGGCTCCCTGAGCACGTCACTAATGGGAACGTGTGTCTGTTAGAAGGTCAGCAGTGGAAGGCTCCTCCCAGCACAGTCTGGATGAGCAGAATTGAGCTCCGGGCAGGAGGAAGGGGATGAGCTGGGGGCGTGAAGGGGCAGGGTGGGCCAGGAAGAACAAGGATGTGGCAGACTGGGGTCACCCTCTTCTCAGCTCTTCAGTTTGCCTCCTTTCCCTTCTCATCTCCCCGTCTCCCTCACACTCTCCCTCTTCTCCCCCAGGGCTGGGCTTCCTTAAGGAAGAGTTTGTCTTGACAACCAGGGATCAGGAACACACGTGGGCGGGGTGGCCTGGAACGGTGACAGCTGCGGAGTAAAGGGAAACATGAGGACAGACAGCCCTCAGCCCACACCTCTGCAGTGGGCAAACCCTTCTGAGCCTGGCGCTGGGCTGCGGAGAGGAAGCTGAGACTGCCCAAGGCGCCCCCACCCGACACCGTGTCTGCCAGTCCTGGGCGGCTCTTTGGAGAGCGTGGACCACTGCACTAAATGCCCCCCCTTCGCTGTGCCCCCTGGACAGTCTGGACACTGCCAAGGTGGTGGTGGGGTATGGGGAGGGGGGCTCGCCCAGGCCTGTCAGGCTTCTGTGAACAGTGCCATGGTGGTGGCCTGTTCTCCCTGCAGTCTCCTCCTTTTGTATCTTTACCTGCTGTCCTCCAGCGCTGACATGAATTCCAGCAGCTCCTCAGCCTTCTCTTGCATTTTCATTGTTCTAACGCTTCCAGCCTCCACAGAACTGGCAGGAAGAGGAATCTTCCATTGAGCAACAAAGGACTGTCAAATCCGATGAAAGCCTAGGTACTGGACGTGGACAGGGTGGCCATGGAACAGTCCTAGTCTCCCCACCTGGCAGAAACTAAAGCATGAAGACAGTCCTCGCCTCTGAATGGCCTGGGCCAAACCCAAGACAATGCCGCCCAGCAGACACAGCCAGTGCGAGCCCGTGGAGCCCAGCACAGTGACCTACATGCCACGTGAATGTTTGCTGAACCAAATCCAATCGGAAGGAACTGCACTCCTCTCCGTGAGGCGACAGGCCCTCGCTCAAGAGAGGACGTGCATAGTCTATGATGAGCCTGAGTACCCTCAGTGAGGGAGCCCGGGGTGGAGTCCCAGAAACCTAACATGAAGGGAAAATTGTGTCCCCTTCCCCGGAAATTTCCCTGTCTGCAGTCGCAGGCCAACGAGACAGATTCGGAAAATAGCAGTGTCATAATTCACACTTCTTTTCATCAAGCACAGAGTACTCTGGCCTTTTTACATTGTTCCCCTGCCTGAAGTGCTCTCCTCACCCCACTTCCTCTAACAAAAAACCTTGCAACTAAGTAGCTATGTGTGAAATAATGTGGGTCTTACTGGGATCCAGAAAGATTTGAGAGGTGGGGAGAAAGGAGATAATTAAAATCAAACTGGCCAAATGTTGACAATGAATGTCATGTGTTGGTGGGTATGTGAGGGTTCATTCTGTTATTCTATTTTCTGCCTATTTGGAAATTTCCATAATAAAAAGTTTCTTAAAGCTCCTATGCCCCCATTAAACCCAGGTCAGTCCTGCCTTGTACATGAGCTTTCCTGATGGACAGGCTCCTCCCTAGTCCTCTAAGGGCAGGGCCAGTGTTGCCCACAGTAGCACAAGGCTTTCCTGTAGCCATATATATATTAGGTATTTGTTTCATAGACTTTCAGTTGCCTCTTAAATTTCATGGCAGAAAGGAGAGGATGGGAAAGCAACTAACATGTCCTAAGGTCCTGGGCTGCAAGTTTCTCACATAGGCCTTATCCTTCCTCCACCACCTCTCCAGCTCTCCCTGGGGGTCTCATAAGTATTTGTTGGACGACAGAGGAATCATTAAGCAAACATCAGCACAATCATCTGGTGGACTGGTAGACAGCCATCCAAGACAACGGAGAAGTTTCTAAAGACATGGGGAAAGGCATGCTATAGTGCTAAGTGAAAAAAATCCAAGCACAGAACCATGTATACAACATGGTCTTCACTGTATAAAAAACTGGCTAGAAAAAAGACTGGGAAGATCTCAAAATGTGCTTATTTTTAGGTGGCAGATTATTAGAGATTTTTTTTCTTGTTTTTAAATTTTCAAGATGTGGTTTAGCATCAGATATAACAGGAGTCAGCAAACTTTTTCTGTAAAGGGTCAGATAATAAATATTTTCAGCTCTGCAGGCCATATGGCCTCTGTTCAATCCACTCAATTTGTTATTTTAGCAGGAAAGCAGCCACAGACACTATGTAAATGTGGGCGTGGCCGTGTTCCAATACAGCTTCTTTTACAGAAACAGGTGGGGGGGGCTGGATTTGTCTCATGACCACCCATAGTTTGCTGACCTCTGATCTATGACTTTACAATCAGAGAAAAAGTTATTTAAGTTACATTAAGTATGTGTTCTTTGTGATGATGAGGTCCTGACACTGTGGAGCATACATAGTACAGAAAGCTTACAGTCATGCTTTATTCTGGTCCCCTTACATCATAAACACTAGAAATTCAAAGTCATAAATTAATGAATATGAGCATGAAAATTCTATGCTGGGTAGAGGAGTAAAAATTCACAACACCAGTGATAAATATAAAATTTATCTCTATTTTAAGCCTAGTATATTTCATTTATTTAGATTTTCTTTTATGTATTTTAATAAAGTATTATAATATTTTAGAGACCTCTCAGAAATCTATTATTTTTAAAACATAATTTAAGATGAAGAGGAAAAAGTTAAATTCTCATTTCTTTTTTTTTTTTTCCCTCCAGATTTTCTGAAGCAAAGTCCCTGGGAGAAAATATAAATGAAGCAAGAAGTAAAATCGGTAAGCAGGCGATCCTCTGTGAGCCTCTCTCACGGACCATTTTTCTGGTGGAAACCAGGTCATGGTGGCCTCCGAAAGCCATGGCCCAGTTGCAGGAGCGCCCAGCCAAGGCAGTGCTTAGAGTGCCTTTCCTTTCGAGTCTTTCCTCCTCCCCTCGTCCATCAGGAGAAACAGTTCCTTTTGCCTAAAACTTGAGCTTTTCACCCTCCCCTCCCCCCCATGCAGGCCTGAGCTCTAGCATCCCAGTGAGAAAGTTGACCTTTTCCCTGGCGTTTTCCAGCAATAGCTCTGCTGGCCATCACCACAGGATTGCGGTGACAGTGGTATTTTCAGGTGCTGGGAAACACCGTCACACCTCCAAAGCTTACACGTAGCATTTCAGCACCCTCCAGTGAGCCAGGGGAAGGATGAGAAGCAACACTGAGCCGGTGTGCCTTCCCAGGATGCAGGCTGCTGAGCAGGGCTCCCCCACTTAGGCGTGCATCTCGGGAAAGGTGAGGTTAAAGCCAGAGGCAAATGCAACAAAAGGGTGTCACAGACCTTTGTGACAGCCAGAGGAGAATGTGTCTTTCATCCCAAGCTAGAAGACACACGGAGAAGACACACAGAGATCCATCTCCCAGGCGGGGCAGCCTCACAGAGGGGATCCCCGTGGGAGGGAAGGCAGCAGTCACCAACCTGTTCACAGCGGACTCCCTGAGTCCCATTGTCCCCACCTTCCTCCTTCGGAGGCACAAAAGCCGCTCTGAATGGCCCTTTTGGCTTTTGCTACAGAATATTGAAAATCATGGTAGCCTTGAGTTGTTTCAGTTGAGGACAGGGAAGGCCTATGTCCTCTCCATTGGCCTGAATGGGAAGGGCTAAGGCTGCCAGGCCCCGCGCCAGGCGGAGAATCGCTAGAGCCTCAGAGATTCTTAACCTCAAGTCCAGGATCTTCGACGGGGGAAGATGCACCTTCATTTTTACTAACCTCTGCCTGCGGTTTAGCACTGCCTCCGTGATGAATGTAGGCAGCAGACCACAGTAGAGCTAGCAGCACCTGCCAGCAGTGGGAATCACAGACATTTCCATTTTACAGCAGAGTTGGCCGACATGGTAAAATGTCCTTTATACTCATCAGCACTTCTCAATTACAGTCGGTATTAGACTCGGCATTCAGTCTGGTTATTTAATGCATTTATACAAAAGCACATAGATATCCCTGTATCAAAAAAAGTTTTAAAATGTTGGTAACCTTTAGTACAGTTAGTTTCTCTTAAAACCCTATTTAAAATTCCTTCCTTGGCCTAGAACCCAAGCCCCTGAAATTGCATGAAAAAAAAATGGGGGGGGGGGTTAGGAGTGTGCATTTGTCTGGAGATAATAGTTTATCTGATTCACGAAGGGATCAGAGACCCAAAGCAATAAGGAAGCTGATTGGGCAGGAAAGCAGATGCCCGGTGGAGGAGCAGCCAGTCCGGCAGCAGGGCAGCTGACCCACCTGGCTGGTGGCTGGGAGGGCGGGGCAGGGGAGCAGGCCCCCATGGATCCCAGGACTTGTCAGCATCATGTGACTCAAAGGACCCAATGGTCTGTTTTCATTCCTGGGAGACAGGAGGAAAGACCTTTTATAAATTGCTTCTCCACACAGAGTAGTATAAGGTTTCGCTCTTGAAATATATCTAACTCTCTAAACCCAAAGAAAACTGTTCCAACAGTAATGACATAGATTATGACGGAAGGTACCCCTGGCCTATGCCAATGTACTTAGCTTTGTGCTCACAGTTCCTTGGGTTGTCACAATTCTAAATTCTCCATCATTTTGGTGCAATAACGTATGTGGATGGATCCCGTTCGCCACGTTCTTGGGATTAAGCACGCCGGGGCTGCCTGCCGCTGCGCAGGTTGGGGCGGGGAGACCTCCCACGGAGGACATCTGTGATTGCAAATATGCCAGCAGAAGCCCTGGATGAGCAAACCTTTGTTTTCTCTGGAGACTCACAATGTTGAGATTCACTGCTAAGAGAAAGCAGCTGGCGCAGTGGTGCCAATAAAGTCATCATCACTATCACTTCATTTCATGCCAAGAGCCGACTAACACCATCCTCTTATGAATGTGCTCGTGATCCGAGGCGGTCCAGCTGAGTGGATCACTGCGACTCAACCCCAGGACTGAACAAGCCCCTCCTGGTGCTGGGCCACAGGGAGCAGCCCGCCATCCCTGCATCTCAGACCCAAGGTGAAGACGAAGAAGGCATAAGGTGGAATTCATACACTTATTTAAAAATTCCAAAGTAACGTTGAGGGAAACTGCTTTCGGGAGATTTGTGATGTTCCTGAGTCATAGATCTTTAATTTCTTCCTTAGGGAGAGATGAAATCAGGTGAAATTAAATTCAGTCCCCAATGAGTGCTTTAGCGACTCCCAGGGTGAGGAGGTGGGAGCCCTCACGATGTACCATTACATGCGCAAAACGACGACTCAGCTTCGCTCCAGACTGCGCCACATCCCGCCTCTGGCACGCACTTGGAAGTGACCTGCGGAGGGGACATGAAAGCTGTGTGTGCGCACTGCAGATCAGCCGGCCCACCTGTGTAACGTCAGGTTGCCCCTGTCTTCTCGGGCCATTTGGCTTTTCTCTGACATTGTGATCTGGAGCTGCCACTTGCGTTTCGTTCTCAAAAATCCCTGACACGTCCATATAACTTGTTTTTCTTCAAACAAGCTACCCCAAACTAGGTAGGTAAGCTCTTGCCACAAACTCCTTTTCTGGCCCTCTCTGTACATTGTTTAGATCAGTCCTGATGCTGAAACAAGTTTAGATTGGAAACGGAAGAATAAAACAGTCATAGAATATTTGTGTCCATCGGAGAGTCATTCCCTTGTGTTTGCTTACCGGCTCCGTACATAGGAGCTTTTCATCCTGTGGACTGTGTTTTGACCATGTTCATATACACCCTGGTTCCATTTGTCATATCTCTAAAAATGCCGTCGAGCCCAGGCTGTGGGAAAAGAAGGAGACGGCTTTGGAGGTGGCGGCACAAACCAGGCCATTTTTCACTCACTGGGATTCTGGCATCGGTGTTTCTACATCAGAGTTCTCCCACTGGCAGCATTGTCTTTGGCAATAAAGGACAATGAATGGCTGTTCCCTGGCATGAGGCCCACTCCCGAACCAGTCCAGGAGCCAGCTGCTCTGCAGGCAGGTGAAAGGCTCTGACAGACACCTCTTGGCACGTCTCCATCCTCCATAGACCGTCCAGGCCTAAATGAGAACTGACGTCACAGGATGCTGCACAGAAGGGTTTTCACTAGAGAGCCAATCAACGACCAGTTCCAAAATCACAGGAAATGTCCTAGAAGAAGCTGTCAGTGAGAGGTGAAGGAAACGACCAACACGGGAAAGGCTAACAAGACATTCTGAACGTTTTCTTTCTCCTGCTCCAAACTCGGAGACGGATCCCAACCCACCTTGGAAACAATACTCTTTTTAAAAAGGTTTCTCCCGTACATTTGGGATTTGGGAAAATCAGATCTGGGTCTTCATTCTCAGAATAAATAGGACTGTTTTTCAGTTGTGTGCATTTCTATACTTTAATATTCCTCTGAGGTTTACTTCTAGACCTGCTGGTGCGTGTCGGCTTCTAGTGTCTTCTCCCAGAGCCGGGCAAGACAGCAGCCGGGGCATGTTGCTAGCTTGTGAAGACCTGAATCAAGTGTATTCTTTTGTTACTATTTGTCGCCAGCTCCAAATAACAACCACATCAACAACAGCCTCCATCATCCATTGAGCACTGACTCTGAGCTGTGGCAAGAACGCAACATGCCTTATGGCACATAATCCTCCCAGAGAGAGCCATTACCTATAAGGGGCATCACCTTATGTCCTATAGTCTGCGAGGCACGATCTTTACAGTTGCAACACCTCAAATCAGGATCCACCCCCACTTGGCTATTGCTTCATATTCTGGTGTTAAATGTTTATATTATAAAAACCTCCTCAATGAAGATGAGCCTGCCTTACAGCTGATGCTGTCTAGAGTCTATGAAATATGGTATTATTGTTATTTTGCAGATTTTTTAAAAATGGTGTTTCAGTGAGGTGACCTACCAAGTGGCCAAGCTGGAATTAAAATTCATTTCTGTCCAATTCCAAAACTTTTAAATACAGTAAATCATCTCCATAAATCAGGTTCATTTCACTTGGACATTTTCTTCTGAGTTTAATTTGCCTTCATCCTACGGGATCTGCCCAACGGGCTCATACTAGACCCAAGCTCATGCACACACAGCCCAGGAAGATTAAAGGGGTCTTTGTGATGTGATTCAGGGGCTCAGTTGTGGTGGTGAGGGGCGTCTGAGACCCAGCCTGCCCGGCTCCCCATTTCAGGTGCACGGGCCCAGGGCTGCTTGCCCCTGAGG